GAGTAACACTGAATATTGACTTTTCATCTTCAATACATGATCGAGAAATCAGGTGGGTGATATTAAAAATTACCAAATCCCAGTTACTTGAAATCAAACTATTTAACCCTAACTTTTGAGGTAATTACAGCTGTGGTTGACTAAGTAAAAGGTAGTGGCCCTCATTGGATGAAATCAGCCCTCTGTAGTTTATATTTTCTGATTGTGAATAGAATATTTGTTGTCTCTACACAGAATGGCGTCTTCTGTGGTTCACACAGGCATTGGTGATGCTAGGAAATAACTGTGATGGAAACAAGGATCTTGTGCATTATGTGGATGTAACCTTTTTGTTCAACATACTCATAGTATTCAAATTTGTGCATTTTTTAAAACAGATTCAACAATGGGTGGATGATTAAGATTGGAAGGGGTCTTGATTATTTTAAGAAACCACAGGTAAGGACACTTTGACTTCTTTAACTTAAAACAAGCTCTTCTACCGTATATGCTCACCATGTCAATTATCTTAATTTTTGCAGGGTCATTTCAGCATTGGATACTGTGACTTCGACTTGAGACCTTGTCATGAAACAACAGTGGATGTCTTTCATACTAAACACACAAAGAAAATGTGATCAGAAATGACTGCTTTTAATAAGTTTTTTCATAAGCATGAAAATGTGAGACTGAAAGATGTTGCTTGAGTCCAGCTGGTTGCTGACAGAAGCAACTCTTCTAAGTACTTAGTGCAGCACAGATTTTATAATCTGTATGTTTAAGAATATTTGAGACTTTCCAGTCTGAGAAAACAGAACTGCGTGATGCCTTCATTGTACTTCTGTAATCTTAGTTAATATAATCCATGTCTAAATTTTATCTTGATTTCATAACAGACCCTCAATAGTGGCTTTCAAAAGCCTCTTTACTGCCGTTTCTATTTTTATTATTGATTTTGTCTTGAACCTCTTTGGGGTTTTATACCTTTTAACTCACAATCATTGGAAGCTGGGCAGCCACATGGCCTCTTTTATAAGCAGTCTTATTTATTTCCTTTAATTCCTGTATTCTAGTCATGAGTACTATTTTGCTGGGTTTTTGTCAATCCTGCAGTACTTTATTTCCCAGACTTTACTAGTAATCCCAAATTTCACATTCCATTTTCCAAGCTCTTTTCCTACAAACATGGTAGTGTTCAGTACACAGTCATTTTAGGGTCGTCTTATGTGTCTCTGCATAATGGCTTTTGGACTGGGAAGGCTGCAATCAGCTGTATTCTCCTCTCTGTCACTCCTGTGTGTCCTTTTATTCCATGATACATGGCCATATACCTGATACCCATCCTTTGCATTAAGTGTGGAAAGGATGTGTGATCCTCTCCCAGTCTTAATCTCTGACTTTAAAGTCCAATGACTGGCTTTTCATGCCACTCTCAACTGCAGTAAGTTATTTCTCTGCTACTAAGGTAGTCTCCTAAAAAGAATAAGATTTTTCAGAAGTTGGATACCCTGAGTATCTCAGTTGGTCAGAGCATGGTGTGAATAATGCCAAGGTCATTGTTGTTATTCCTGCAAGGGCCTTTCACTAAAGAGCTGGACTTGATCCTTGTGGGTCCCTTGCAATTCAAAAAATTGTGTGATTCTAAGCAATACACTGTTTAGAATAAAAACCAAGTCTTCCATTGTCATTCCTTCAGCCTTTGGAAACCAGAAGGTATTACCAGAGGTGCTGCTCTTTTTTTTTTTTTTTCTCATACAAGAGTTCTTTGTTAGCAAGAATCTGCCTAAGTCATACACTCTGACATAAAAAACAGGCAGTGGCCTCTTTTTTAGGTCCCATCAAAGTCTTCTCAGCCTCAGGGCAGACATGTGCCTTACACTTTATGCCTTGTAATACAGTAAGCCTCTATATTCTAGTAGCATGTTTATTGCTAGAATGTTTTTTTGTTTCCTGTATTACTTTTCCCTGATGGATAGTGTATTCCATTATCTTTCTTTTTTCCTTAATGTGCTTTTTATTTCATTTTCTGTCATCTAATGCTGCTATTCTTTTCCTCTTGTTTCTAACTGTTCCACAGCAATCAATAAGAAACGGAGCTGGTCTTTGCCTTGTTTTCTGGGTCATAATTTGCCAGTGGTCTGCCTTCTTTATCCTTTCTCAAAGTAATTCAGCTTTGCAGTGTTGCACCAGCAGAATGAATAATATATGTGCCACAGAGCTGTGTGCTATTAGTCATTCTTTTAAACATTCCATAGGAGCTTCCTGGCTTGCTGCTGTGATATGAAGTTTCTAGTCACTTGTGAATTTTATTCAGTTGTGTATAATATGTGCCTATTTTTTAATGGCAATAAAGATTATTTTTTACTATTTGTAGCTTCAGTCATCTGTTCGATTTCTTTACTACATCAGGAAATTCAAGCAAGCTGTGTAATGCCTCATAAGATCCAGCCATGTTCTGGAGAAGGCTCACTGTAACTACAGTAATTTCCCAAATGTGAAGTGAGGAAGTGTCTTCATGTCTTTTAACCCAGTCCAGAAATTTCAAACATAGAGAATCACAGAATTAACTAGGCTGAGATCATTGAGTCCAACCTATGACCTAGCATCACCTTGTCAACTAGACCATGGCACTGAGTGGCACTTAATAAACACCCCCAGGGATGGTGACTCCACCACTGCCCTGGGCAGCTATTTCAATGCCAAATCAGTCTTTCTGTGAAGAATTATTTCCTAATGCCCAGCCTAAACTTCCCTTGGTGCTGCTTGAGGCCATATCTTGTCCTGTCATGTTACATGGGAGAAGAGCCCAAACCCCACCTGGCCACAGCCTCCTTTCATGTATCTCTTCTGACCTAATCAGAATCGCGTTACACTTATTCTTCAACAACAGTGATATATACATCTCAAGCCTTTCTTTTGTAATTTTACTACATATATAGATATTATTTAACATTAAAACTGTCACTTTCAGTTCAGTGTTGCCTTTTATGGGAGAATCTGCTAAGTGGTAACATAAGGAACCTCTTTCTCCTAGATCTGTATTTGCATTTCCAATTGTTTAGCTTTGATACCAGTACCCTTGGAAGCAGGAACTCCCAGCTTTGTGCCAGGCATAAGATAGGCACAAGAACAGAGGAGGCATATGTGGCCTCTGTCCCAGTTAAGTCTCTCCTGCCCTCATCACATAAACCCGCACACTGAACTACCTAATCTTCCACTCCTCTTGCACATGCACGGACAAAAGCCCGAACCCAGGGTGGACCTACAGTGATTCACTACCCTGTGGTGAGCTTAGCTCACTATGGTGCTTGTACAGCAGAGGCACAGGGGCACCAGCACTCAGCAAGAAATGTCTTTCAATCAGAAACCAGCGACATCCCTCTCCACACAGCTCAGTGGCTGCGACACTGCCTTTGGGCTGCTGTCCCCAAGGAGCAGGATGCAGGCTGGGGCACCCAGTGCAGCAGCCCAACACCAGTTTTACACCTTCCCCATTACATCTGTGTCAGCCATTTGTACCTTTGCTGCTACAGGGCCAATTTGGGATGCCCCCACCATTTTCCCTGGTTCAAGCAGCAATGATGTCTTGTCAGCAGTGGTTTCAATTCTACAATTTGGGAACATCAGGTGCAGGCAGTGTGGAATTTAATTGCAATATTAAACAAAAGCACGAGATTGAACAGTTTGTTTTCTACAAGCTGAATTTTTCCCTTACTAGTGAATGTTTTAATATTGTTTTTAATACATTAAATAAAAAAGCAGCAGAAGTTTAACTTGTATTTTCAAAATGCAAGTCACATTAACCTTATCATATTCTCACATAGTAGACTCCACCTGCTGTGCAACTCATTGTCTTGTGGACACACTCTTAGCAATGTTGTCACTAGCGTAGTGGTTTCGTTTGGGCAAAACTTACTGCCCGTAAGACTCTTGACCAGTTCACTGTACAATCCTGGTGGCAGCCACTGCTCTGGCAGATCAATGTTACAGACTTCAATCCTCCCATGCTTTACGTCCATATTTACTTTAACGTCAAAAACAGAATCTTTATAGGCCATGTTAAGACATGTGCTAACACTGAACTTCGGTGTCTTTCCATACACCCATTCCCAGGTTTGTAGTTCTTTAGTTTTGCTACTAATTCCAGGAAGCAGAGTCTCGTCAGCTGGATTTATTAAGGTGATATGGTGATCTATCTGGTGTTGCACAGCATATTCTTTAGCAATGGCATCCAGTAGCATCTCAGAAGTTAAACTAGGATCTTCTTCAAAGAGATTTTTCACTGAGGCAGGCACACTAGGAGTGGCATTGCTCTTTAGCCCTCTATAAGGACTTTTTAGCACAGAAGATAAAACAAACTTATCTGCATTACAGAGTAAGGTACAGTGATGATAAGCACTTGTCCTTCCCAGCTTTGCAGCAGTTCCTGAGATTTTGTATTTCCTGTCTAGCAAGATGTCGTATCTGTCAGTGACATGTACATCTAACTGGGGCCGCAAGGCTTTCAGTGCCTTCACCACAAGCTTCAGGTTTTCCATCCGTTCATATTTTTTTCTGGTTGTGAAGAAAGTCAAATTGATATTACCTAAGTCATGGTAAACTGTCCCTCCTCCACTTCTTCTCCTGGCTAGTTTTATATCTTTTTGTCTCAATAACCTGAGGTTGCATTCCTGCCAGGGATTCTGATGTCTCCCTATTACCACAGCAGGGGAATTTCTCCAAAGGAAAAGGACCTGTTGCTTCTCTAAATCCATATGGTCATGGATCCAGTCTTCCACAGCTAGATTTTGGTAAACATCATTAGAAACAGACTGGATAATGAGGCCTCCACTAGCTGTGCTCCAGAAGCAAGCTTTTGGAGTCCTGAGGGTGCAGGACAGCCAAAGGTAGTTTTTTAATGACTGGAGTACCATGATTTTAATAACTGTACAGCGGATGGAAAGATTGCCTGCTCTGCTAATGCTGAATGCGGCAGGAATGCAGCCGGCTCCTGTGACAGAACTGAAATGCCCGTGGCGGGCATGAGACAGTCGTGCTCTTCCCACCGCAGCACGCGAGTTCCAAGGCACGGTGCTCCTCTGGTGATGCCGCTCAGACCCTGGCGGGAGCCACAGGACATCCGGGGGTGTCACAGCAGCCGCTCCTCGCAGTCCCTGCTGCCTGAAAGACCAAAGGAAGAAACGGAATGCGTATTTTCCCATCACTCATCGCAGCCTTGCTAATGCGGTTTCACTCTGCGTAGTCCAGCTTTGTTAGGGTTTTCTGCCTTCTTTCCCATGGTGTTCCCTCAGCCCCCGACGCCGCGTTCCCGCCCGCACAGCCCCACCGGGCGCCCCGCGCTACTCACGGCGGGGACCGGAGCTGTCCCGGCGGCCGTCCCTGTCCCGTCGGGCTCCTTGGAGCGGGCGGCCTCGGGAGCGCCTTCCGCTTCCCGGGTGAGAGGCGCTGGGGGCGGGCGCTGCGCCTGTCTTGCGGCCGGGGAGGGCTGAGGGCGGCGGGCTGCGAGTGC